ATTACAACACAATGGAAGTAATGTCTTGCAAAAAGGCAAAACTTGTGGCTTTTTGTCCGGAAATGAGACGCAAGATAGCCACTCATTTATTCATAAAGAAGAACTTATTAAATTAAAACAGTCATTATAATAACAAATACGAGAACAAAGACTTCTTAGAGCTGCTGCGTGCAATTAACTGCTAAGAAAAGCTTGGACATTACCGTCTTCTGCCAACATTCTCCCCGGCATCTCGTGGGTAGCAAACAAGACAGGTTACGATGGATGAATACTCACTGTTGACAAGCAAAAAAGAGTGCAATTGCGGCAAAGACCTTGAAAGTTCAACCTGCTCTACTAGCCAAACGTGGGACGAGTTTTCTCTGACATCAGAGGATGAAGAGTTTTCGCTGGTATCTAGCGATAACGAGGAGCTAAGCCCAAGTGAGCTCATGGACAAAAATGACCCTGCAAAACATAATGATGGGCCCAGCTGTTCTTTGGTTGCCGGCGAGCCCCTAAGCAATTATCCAGCACGCTGCTGTGAAACCGATCTCCGCGCCAAGCCTAATAGAATGGACCATCGAACGACAGTTGTACCGTTGGAAAGTGAGGAAACTAGCACTAGTGATAGCAGTATCAGCTCCCGCACTAGAGGCCCTGGCCCATCCGATAAAGAAGTCAAGGAAGAAAGGGAAAGGTATGTACAGAGAAATGCTTAAGTCTTGGTGTCCTTCGAACGCATATAGCAAGTTCGCTCATAACCGATTTGATTCGCATGTTACACTTACAGTTCAACCGTGACTATAATCTATTACGTGTATCACCCGGTTTAAATCAATTTTCACGATCTCACTCCGATTTGCTTCCATAGTTTATCCACAAGCAGGCAAACGTGACAAAAACAGTCAACATATGAAGAATCATTAAAAAAAAAAAATTATATAGCACTGATACCCTGGCCAGCTCAATTCATAATAGTCACGAAGAGCCCATATAAAGGAATTGTTTGAGCTCTTTCAATTTTGTCTGACTGTAGGAAGAGGACGTCATGATTACTTAGAGCCCAGTGATGTTACCCATCCAAAGGACACCTCTTCAGAATTAAAAGAAAAATATGGCTATGGCAAAGTCACAGAGGAGATCTGCGCAAATTGTAACAAAACATTCCAGTGTTATTCTAAGGGAATTTTTGAAAGTGAAAATGGCATGTTGCAGTATTATTGTGACGATAGCGTCTTCTGCATCAATTGCCAGCATGATTTCGATTTTGCTGAAGAAATAAACCCACATTAATAGATTTGATCATACTTTAAAATGTTTAACACCATGTGAATTTACACGGGAAATCGTTTCTGATGAACTGCAAGAAAGTGAAGTGTTGGAATCATTTTTAAATCACCGCACCTTATTTCTTTGTCACGAACATTGTATCGCACGTGGGTTCGTGAAGCAATGTTAATTTTGTAATGAACAAAGGGCTTTCAGGCACCATTACAACTTCACGTCGATTTAAGTGTGTCATTCAGAAAAGGGTGAAACCGCCGAGTTACGCGTGCGAAGTAAACAAAGCACACTTCACGTAATAATTGGTCTTATTACCATTTAATAATTCTTTCCTATTCCATAGTTAGAAAGTGTAGCCTTGAAAAAAGATAAAGTGATCTCAAAGCACGTTTCTGTTCGGTTGTCAGTAGCTGTTTACAGTATGAGTTCGAGACCGAGACGACGGAATATTGAGATCACTGAAACCCACGTTCGGTCGTTGGGTTACCGTAATTGTTTATAAAAGGCTTGTAAATTAAAGGTTCCTCAATTTAAATAAGTCAGTGCTTTATTAGTGCTAACTTCTACTTTTCTAGCATACTGGCAAATTAAAGATAACAAGCTGTGTTTGCTCCGCGTTTAGCGTCATTAAAAAGACAAAACAAACCGGCGTGGATTTTGAAAATTATTTTCCGTGCAGCGGCGCCAGTAAGAAACTTCTTTCATATGCCTTTCCAATTCGCCGTTCTTTGTTGTATGGTACAAGAATGCGAAGGGAAATGATTGGAAATTAAGCCATTGTTTGTCCTTGTATGAGAAACCAAAAAAGAAACCAAAAAAAACATTAACACATTCCATGAAAGGTCGGACGATTTCTATGGGGGGTTTGCATTCTCGAGCGAAATCCGACGAGGACACGGAGGAATCGGGAACAAGCCTAAACAATAGCATGAATTTATGAACGCTTAACGACCCACGAAACGTGGGTACACACTTAAATCGACCTGAAGTTGTCATGCTAGGTATAATAGGATGAACCATTTTGTGAGAGATCAGTGACCTTATTTGATATCGGATTTGTTTTGTCACAGAACATACTGTCGCGTGCGAGTGGGTGACGAAATGTTCACCGGCTTTTTGACTAATTGCAATAAAGGTCTTTCAGGGGCGGTAGCAGTGCTGTGTCAGATGTACATGTACCCTTTAAGCTTTGTAGAGCTTTAACATTTTGTTCTCGCGAGTTTTCTCTTACGGTTTTTATAGTCTGAACTGAATTGAATTGAATTGAATTGAATAGTCTGAATTATTGATTGAAATCTGCCAAACTGAACCGAATTTAAACCAATTAGCTGCAATTATTAGCTTGCGTGCAGATGTCTCTTATTTGTTGGCTTCAAGTGATACGAGACGTCTGCACTTTTATGGTAATATCTTTAAATAACGCAATTTAAAAACACTGTGGTGACGTTAGATGATTTAACTTATAACAAAATCAAGCCACGATTCAACGAACCAAATCACGGGCAAATAGCAAGCTCCCCCGCCGCAGACATAGCTGCTGGTGAAATAGGCCTTTTACATTTAATACAATAGGCCACAACAGTTACAAAAATTTAAAATGTAATATATTTTCTTTAGGAATTCATGATTGGACGTCGTTGAGAGGAAAGACAATTTTCCTGGAAACAAACCAGAATTGCGACAGACTTGTTAAGGACATAAAAAGTCTTGGCGGATTGATTAGTCAATTTCTGACAAAGTGTGTAGACTTTGTCGTTATAGATTCGTTCGATAGCCCAACTATAACATCAGACGAGTTGCTAGGTAGTAAACGTGGATCTAGAGGGAAAATGCTTTTAGCTACTGCCCTGAATTCACCAAGTTATCATAAAAAAACTTTACAAGAAAAAGGACGTGAATTTGGGTTTAAAGTGTTCTCTGTTTCGGAATTCAAGAAAAAAGTTAATGAAATGATAATTTCTAGTAAGAGAGATTACAGCCCAGATGACGATAGAGAACATTGGCCGCAGAAGATTAATATAAATAGAGATAAAGAAACATTTACCCACGGTCTGAGGGCTCCCTTCATCAAAGTTGAGGACCACTCAAGAAGACATAGTCCGATTTTTAAGGAATTCGACTCTTGGCCCAGCATTGACCTTGACAGTCCAACTGTGTGGAAAGGAGGCAATAGGAAGCAGTTAAAGAACGGTCGCAAACAGGAGCGGGGTGAAATTAGGAAATTTTGTGAATGTTGTCAATGTTATTATACAGATTTAAATAGTCACCTTGAATCAAAGGAACATAGATCTTTTGCACAAAATGATAAAAACTATGAGGCCATCGACAAATTGATTAAGAGAGAGAGGACGTTCACTGAATGAGTTAGTGGAGGACACTATAAAAAGGTGAACAGATGAGAATGTCTGACAACAACCGTGGAAAGCAAAGATTAACCGATTTTCATTTGAGATACTTTTGAAAAAATTGTCTGATTAGCGCTGAGTGGAAGATAAATATGATTGAAATCACGCATCGATCGTCGTTAACATACCGTTATGATATAAAATGACAAAGGGGGCTTGTAGGCATTTTGCTTTTTTTCAAATTGAAAAAGATCAACCCAAAACCACAGCTATTGATTTTACCGTACAAGTGCATTACTTCAGTATCATACCAATGTAACAAAATGATGTATATCATCATTTGCCATCCTGACATGATATTCATTTCTATGCTAAACTGAATGATAGTTCAAGGAAGAAAATGTTCGTATCTGTGTGAGTGTAAATATCGGTTGAAGGAATGAATTAGATTGTCTGTAGTTCAAAGTATCTCAGCCCGTTGAATATTATTCTAACTCTCTGACTTCAATAACCAGGCTGTACAGACTAAGTTAGCAGAAAACAATCAAAACCAACCAACCAAGAAATGTGAGTCTAAACTGGCAAGCAGCACTGCTAAAAATTAAAGCAAAATAAAGCTTCGTGTCATATTTTTTTTCCACCGGATATAGTTGTTGTTGTTGTTGTCTTTTTTTTTTTTCTTTTTCATTTTACAGTTTGATTAGTTGACTTTATCTTGGTTACATACACGTACTTACTACCCATGTATATTACCACTGTAATCTCTGAGTCTCAGGGAATTTCACGGAATTTTATGTCAACAGTCCCCTCTCATGTGCCAGCCGTAGAAGATATCATTCTGGGGAAAATCCACTGTTGCGTTAAACGTTGTTTTAGTAAACTTCCAGGAGAGCAGGTCCGATCAGCCAGAGCGATGTTCACCTCAAAGCGTTCTGTGGATCAGAGACAATGGGTTCTAGATTATTTGAACACCCATACGGAAGGGAAGACGGTTATTTATATCATTGGAAAAGACAGCGGCGTCTGTGAAAAGGCGTGGAGAAACTGTCTAGGTCTCACGCGTACAAGGTACCAGACAGTACATTTTTAGACTCCATCTTCTGCAAACAGAATCATATGCAGCATTTTTCTTGTTGATTACATTATCCCGTCCGAACCAGGCGCTGCCTTCTACATGAAAAGCAAACAAACAGAAACAACAACAAACATCCAGTCCAGCCAAACAGACATGGCAAACAGTGGGAATTGTTTTCCCCGTAGGGACCATTCCATATTTTGAATGCAGGTTTACTGATCATGACATGTTCACCACTTGGTTTAATTGTGACTTGAATGCTTTACAAAATTATGTTCCAATATATTAAGATGAAAGATATATTAAGCATCCTCAGTATTGTATTGATCCGTCGAAAAGTTTTGTTTTGATGATTATTAACGTTTTGTTCTTCGTTTTCCAAAAATTAACGCCTACAGATACTTTGCTATTTTGAGGTTACGGAGGAAAGGAACTGTTTTCATTGAGCATGGTAATAAGGGTATGGGCCTTAATACACAAATTCATGTCCAAGAAGCTAAAGCCTTTCTGTCTAATTATGTGCACACCCTGGGAGACATGATGCCAGACAGCAATGAGGTACGTACGAATTAGAGGCATAAGAATTATTTTCACTTTGGTAGAACGCAGACGCACTGCGAACTTTTGCTGATGCGTGCGTATGGTAAATATGATTATTGTATACTTTCACCCATTTTAAACTTGCACACAAAGCCAAAATTGAGACCGATTTTTTTCTACCCGTTTCTCCGAAACCCATAAATTCGTAGTAGCACTATATATAAACATTCATTCATTTGAACAACATGACTGTACTACTAGATCAGACAAAATTTAAACCCTCATTTGCTACATCTCATTTAGGTACATCTGCCAACTTGCCTTAAGAAAGAAGACATTTACAATGAAATGTGTGAAACTCTGAAGTCAAGGGACATAAAACCATGCTCTTTCTCTCATTTTAGATGAGTATGGCCAAAAAATGTCAAAATCAGAAAGGTAACTATAGTTCTTAGGTTAACAAAGAGTAAAGAATAACTGGAAAGGTAACTACAGTGCTGAGTGGAATTATCTGAAGTTGATGTTCTCAGTTTTTATTCAGTTTACAACTTGCGTTCCATTTCTGATGTTTTTATTTAGTGCATGCAATGACCATGACCGCATTACTGGAAAGACAGTTTTAAATAACTTGTTTATTGGTTATTTTACTTTTCACAGGAAAACAGGTTTACAAAGTGTACAAAGTGTGTTAAGTTTAAAGACGAGCTGCAAAAATCTGCAGATAAAAAGGAGCGACAGAACACGCTTCAAAAACGCGATAAACATTTAAAGAAACAAAAGTAAGTGAGTACTTCAAAATAGGATACTTTACTGATATCATTCAATGGATCTTTATCAAGGGTACATTTCTCTACAACAGGTTTTCATCGCTGTTTTAATTATAATAAGATTTTTATTATTGGTGTAAAGTCTTGACACATTTTTCATATACTCAGTCATATATTGGTAGAGAATGTTCGAAATGATCAGGAAATGCACTAGTTTAGCCTGCGAATACAGCGGGTGCGAATGAGAGGCGGCTGTATTCGCAGGCTAGCACTAGTTTGAATCCAGATGTTTTAGAAAGATCGACAGTAATTTTTCGACCTCTCCCGGTCATCCAGTCTGTTCCGTTGGGATATATGTCTGGATTAATGAACACAGTGTTAAAGAAATCACATCCTGTTCAAGCGTCTTTTTTTTCTTGCCAGAAACAACTATTCTTTCAATTTTTCCAATCAGTTAACTATAGTTCTGAACAAAATACTTTTACTCGATCGTGAAATGATTGTTGGCAAATCTTAATGATAATAATAATAACAATAATGAATAATAATAATAATAATAATAATAATTATAATTATTATTGGCATTCAATCTTCACATGTTAAGATGTGAGAGAGAGAAGTACTACAAACATGGTAACAAAGCCAGGAATAATCCCAGAAAGTATATGTCAATTATTTTGGACGGTAAGTAATACCAGTAAGATATATGTTAGTTTGACATGATTATTATTCCAACAAGCTTCAAGCGACAATTGTCATTCAAAAAGGTAAGATCAATATGATGTTCTGTTACAAAACCAAACGATGAAGTGGAAATAATTGTGATAACTTTAACGCTTTCAGGCTTAGCTTAGAGATACACACACTTACATTACGTACAAATAAGGTGTTTTTCTCTTTGTAGGAATGGACCAAAATAAAACTAGTATTCCTCATTTCCCTGTGTTACCAAAGGCGCTGGCATCTCTACATCAGCTGAGGACTCATATCGTAGGAGTAATTGTACATGGGAAAGGAACTGAAACTTATGTAGCTGAAGGACAGCGATGGCCCCAAGACACCAACCTAACACTTACTGTGCTGCTCAAAGCAATCGTTAAACACAAGACCACACAGGATGTACTCTACCTGCAAATGGACAACTGTTGCAGAGAGAACAAGAATAAGTGGGTCCTTTGCTTTTGTTTCCTACTTGTGAAAAAAGGTAAGCAGTAAAAATACCTGCTAATTACTTTTTAAACTTTCAACAGCTTTTCCATTATTACTCCAATTTATTGCAATTTAATGGCAACCTACAGGATAAAAGCCATCCAATTAAAAGGAAATTGACCACCTCCCCCCCTCCAAAAAAAAAATTGCATTAGGATGGTCTGTAAAATTTATTGTGACTTTGCTGGCATGTGCTAACGTTGCTCCATTTAATAGCTGTGATAAAAAAATGTCTTTATTGCAATAAGACCTTTCCTTTCGGCTTATTCACATACATTCCTTAAAAAAGGACATTTCTGTTGATTTTCATTTGCTTATTTGTGTGTTTGTTTGTTTCCAGATTAAAATTGGATTTTTAATGGTGGGACACACTCATGAGGATATCGACCAATTGTTCTCCTGCACTGCAAGAATCCTAAACAAGTTCAAAGTCCTCACGCTATCACAACTGCTTTAGAAAGTCAAGCAAGTTAATAGAAAAGACCCCGTTGACACAGAAATGCTTGACCATCTTTACAATGTACGAGACTGGATAGATGGGTTCATTCCTGACCTTCACGGGCACCTAAAGTCATACCAATTTAAATTCAAAGTTGAAGGGGAAGGAGTGCGATTTTCGTACAAGAAGAGATCCACATCGACAGAGCAGATCTCGGTTGATCAATCAAGATTCTCCATCTTTGAAGATCTTCCAACTGGTCAATCGGGAATGGTCGCATCGTCATTTGAGGAAATGAAAGTTCCTCTGTTTAGCAGACACCTGAGGGATACTTATTCTAATTGGATGCCAGATGAGTGTCCTGAGGAGTGGGAAGATTGGATTAA